CGAGTCCAGCTAAGACATCTAAAAAATATTTAACTCCCATCAATATCAAGCATATACAAAAGCTGATGCAAGTTGGGAATTTATGCTCGTGAAAAACTATGTATGTTGGATAGGCAAGACACAGATCATTGAGTACTCAAAAAAAGAAATATTTAAACAACTCTAATTGTATGAGATGACATTTAAGCTGCTTTATTGGTAACAAGGCTTAGAGGTCACCCAGTACTATGGACTGAATTGTGTCTCCTCCAAATCCATATGTTGAAACTCTAACCCCCACATGATTGTATTGGAGACCGGGCCTTTAAAAAGTGATTAAGTTTGGGACTCCTGGGTGTTTCATGGTTGAGCATCTTCCTTCGGCTCATGGCATGATCCTGGGATCCTGGGATCGAGTCCCGCAGCAGCCTCCCATGGGGAGCCTGCTTCTCCTTCTGTCTATGTCTCTGCCTCCCTCTCTGTGTCTCTTATGAATAAATAAATAAATAATCTTAAAAAAATAGAAAGTAATTAAGATTAAATGAGGTCATGACAGCAGAACCCCAATCCCATAGAACTGTGTCATTCTAAGAAGGAGAGCCACCTGTGCTCTCTCTTCACCATGTGAAGACAGCAAAAAGCAGATGTCTGCAAGCCAGGAAGTGGGCTCTTTCCAGAACCCAACCACCATGGTCCTCTGATCTTAGACTGTGAGAAAATAAGTTTCTGTTATGTAAGCCACCCGACTTGTGGTGTTTTGTCCTGGCAGCCCTTGCAGACCAAACATCAAGGGTTGATCAGGAATTTAAGAAATGATTATATCAAGAGGAAACTATCCTCACATAATCATCACACGGAAATGGTATCTGGAAACAAGGGAGTGAATGGGGGAAGCAGATGCATGTAAGTTGATGGAGACAATGGGAAGCTCCCAGTATTCAAGATGACCACACTTAAAAATCAGTAAATTTTTAAAAAAATTGTGTGGGCCAAAAAAAATGTGTCTGTAGCATTTTGGGACGGGAGGCGAAAGTTTCAACCCTTGGACTAGCCTTGGCCTGTTCTCTAAATATTCAAGACGCATATTATTGATTTGGAGTTTTGAAGCAAGATTTTACATATACCTGACATTAAATTGTGATCTCTAACGACCAAACAAGTTCTTCTTTTTTTTTTTTTGATTGATATTGATACAGCATTGACTTATAGATGATACGAGATTTTTCTTTAAAATTTGCAACTACTAATTCATTCCATTTGGGTAGCTGGCCAAATCAAAATATTTTACATATTATACAGTAGGTTATTATAATTTGCAAGTATAATGTAACCTTTCCCCCCATTCCCACTGGCATTTTTCTTGTTCTCTTTTAAGCCTTTCTAGAATGCTTAGGTAGTTGGCTTGAAAACTATTGTTCTTTCCCAGATAAATAGCAGTCAGAATTTCTCCATGAGTGGCATTTTAGTTGTTCTGAGGGACATTTGGCCAATTACAGATCATTCAGGTGACTAATACTAAAATAAAGGCATTTTAAGAAAATTCCGTTGCTCTCCACCCCCCTCTAAATCATGTAGGGATTGGCTACTGAGATGTAGTTTTGGATCAACAACATCAGCCATCTTTTGGAGGTTGGTAGATATGCAGAATCCTAGGCCCCAGCCTTGACCTACCGAATCCAAATCCACATTTTCACAAGATCCCCAGGTGATCTGTGTGCACATTACACCTTGAGAAGCATTGCTAGGGTATTCTAGACTGAGGTCAGAGGATGATGTTTCTATTGCAGAACTGCATGAAATCTAAAGCACAAAACTTTATGTCTTTGTCTTCTAAAACTTGTTGATATCTCAGAAGACATGAAGATAGGATCCTCAAATGTTGATGTCTGCATAGTAATATACTAGAAAGATCCTTCGGCATAAACATAGGAATTCAGGGCTGGACTCCCAGACCTGCTATTTACTAACTTAGCATAAATAAAATTCTAAGCCTACATTTGTTAATCCTTAATAATGTCTACATTACGGGGTTTTGAAATCTCAAATGTAAAATGCATTTAAGTATAGAAAACATAACATTAAAAATAATTGTGGGTTGAAGAGAGCTTAGCTATAGGTGTGATTTGGTCAGGATCTGGCCAGAAAGTGCATAGAACATGCTAATGTCAAAACATGACCTATGGAAAACATCACCTGACCAGCTACCCAAATTCTTCCCTGACCATTGACTATATGAAACATAAATTATCGCAAAAAGGATCACTGGATCTGTGGTCAGTTGGATAATGCATCTCTCACCAAAGCATTCAGATTTAATTAATTTAATTAAAATAAAATGGAGAATAGGCTATTTGAAACAGGCTACCAAGTCCACATGTTTGCTGTAAAGTAATAGGTTAGATCTGTAAGGGTTTTTACACATGGACGTAAACCAAAAGTTCTCAAAATTTAATGTGTTCAAGACTCACCTGAGGAGCTTGTTATATAGAGATTTTTTCCTCTCTAAATTGCCAGAGAATCTTATTCACTTGATCTAAGATATGGCGGGAATATGAATTTTTAACAAGCTTCACAGTTGATGTTGGTGCTAGTGATCCGCAAACTATTCTTTGTGAAAAGTTGTGTTAAGTCAATAAAATGCAATAGAAAGAGAACTTCCTAAGTTCATCAATATCAATCACAATAATAAAAACTTCAATCATTATAGTTTTATGGTCTTTACAATACCTTGCTGTGATAAGTAATATGAGTATCTGTGTTTTACCAATAAAGAGACTAAAACCTTAGTTATTCCATTTAAGTGCATCCAGGTAGAAAAAGAACCAGCATTTGGATCCAGACCTGTGTGACTCAAGAGCACAGGCTATATATAAAGCACTATTCTATTTTCAAAGACACCAGGTTCCCACCATCTCTCTACATAAAAGAAATGATCAAAATCCTGGGTCCCCTTGGTAGAAGGGGTTTGGAGGATACATGAAATGAACTGAACTTCTCAGACATTTCCTCATTATTGGAGATTTCATTTGGGAATGGAGTTTGAGGGATAGAAGATCTGTAAGGTGTAGAGGAGAGGACAGGTTACATGAAAGTATAATTCTAAATAACAGCCATATAATATTTTCTTGAATTCCATATACCAATTTAGAATGGCCTGCTCAGTAATCCTACATGGATATCCCATGGGAACCTGTCATATTCCAGTCTGTCTTGAACCCATCAACTTTCTGCTTCTCCTCCCCAGGCCTATTTTATTTCAGTGGTTTCCTGTCATAGTTAATTGCATCTCTGTCTACCTGGATATCTAATTCAGAAAGCTGGAGTCATTCTTATCATTTGTTGCATTTCAGCATCTATATTAATCAGATACTTTGACCAGTTGATGGCCTTTCCATATGCTTTTCTGATCTATCTGCTTTTTTCCATCCATAACAGTAGTGTTTAGTTCCAGCTTTGTAACTTGGTTGGACTATTTTCTCAAGTGTCTGTAACCAATCTCATGACACCTCTCTAGCCCAGTGGGATGGCAATCATATTGGGCAGTCAAATTGATCTTTTAAAATGAACATGTCTGTCCCATCCATGAGGAATTCCTTGTCTTATATAGGAAAAAATAAATAAATCTCTTAGCTTAGGAGGAAATATTTGTGCTTGTATATGTACAAAATCTCTCTGGAAGGAAAAAAAAAAAAACATTGGTTGTCTGTAAGGAGAACTGGGTAGTTGATGCATCGGGCTGGGAGGAGACTTTCCACCCTATATCATTTTTGTGACTTTTAAACTTAGAACCATGTAAATGTGTCAAAAATTTTAAAAGGAAATAAAAATTCCTTAGCTAAGTGAAATAGCACAATGTCAGAAATTTGCAAAAGAAATAAAAACACAATGAGAAAAAAAAGGAAGAAAGAAAGGAAAGAAGAGAAAGTTTGGATAGGCAAGAAAAGAAAAATTTTGGTAAATGTATCTGAAGGCTGAGTATATTGCAGATTATTATTTTTTTTTACTATTCAATGTTCTATAATAATAATTTAAAGATAAAAATAAATCCCCAACAGCCCGGGGTGGCTCAGGGGTTTAACGCCACCCTTGGCCCAAGGCTTGATCCTGGAGACCTGGGATTGAGTCCCATGTCGGGCTCCCTGCATGGAGCCTGCTTCTCCCTCTGCCTGTGTCTCTGTCTCTCTTGCTGTCTCTACTCTCTGTGTCTCTCATGAATAAATAAAATCTTTAAAAAATAATTTAAAAAAATCAATCCCAAGCTTAGCCTACAAGGCATGTCATGACCTATACTTTGCATGCCTTTCTATGAGCTGTCCCAGCCCCTCTCCATGCTGTCTTACTTATGTTTCTCTTGACTAAATCCCTTTCTTTCTCATCCCCATGGCTTTGCATATGCCAATTCTTTTATTGGTAATGTTCTTGCCTTCCTTGCTTATTCCTCCCTATTCTTGGGACTTTAGCTCCTCAGCCACCTCTGCAGAGAAGCCTTTCCTAGAGTCCTCCTCACTTCTTCCAACAAGAGCTATGCCCTCCCTTCTCTAAGCTCCCATGGTACTCAGCACTGACTTATTTTTTGGTTCTTACCACATTGTGGTAATTGGCACAACCCTTAGAAGCCAGCAACCACGGCACCTCCTGTAGGCTCTGTACTTTACAGGGCTCTATGGGCCCTCCTCTTGCTACATCTTGTCCTAGATCTAGGAGTCTGTGGTAACAGCAAGGTGTGACCACCTGGAAGTTGTTCTCTCTTATACTCCAGATCCTAAGACCTCAATTTTTTTCCCCCAGACATTTCTTTCTCTGCTACCAGTGCTATATTACCAATATAAAGCCTCAAGGGGAAATTTTTGGTTTTCCAAAAAGCAGCAAGTAGTAATTTCAGGAAAAGTAAACTGCAGCTTAGATATACTAAAGCTATTTGAGAAAATATGGATTTTGTTGTTTCTGCTGTTACTGTTTTATTTCTCTTCCTTCTATTTTATCTACAACAGAGAAGACTTTAGGAAAAATAAAATACTTGCCTTCAAGAGTAGGTGATGCCGGAGTGGGTCTGGAAGCTTGTACTGTTGGTAATGGAGGTGGTAAGGCTGGGCTTTGTCCTGTGCACACAATGTAGGAGTAGGAATTGAAAAAAAAAAGGATTAACAAATTTAATATCCATGACTAAAATAGCTAGATCTGTCCCCAACATGCATAATTCATAATCCAAAGTATAAATTCATATTATTATGCAATAAGAAAAGTGTTATTAGGTGAGATCTTTAAGTGGATACATACACAGGTTCCGTTATCTTCAGAGCCATTTCTGAATATATTACTTTTCCTAGATGTATATACAATGTTAAATATATCTACTGGACTTCATTAATGGAAAATCTACATGCAATCAAATAAAGCAATTTATTTTCAATATGCACTTTAAATTATGGAAACTAAAATCACAGAAGCTGAGAGGACTCCTAATATAGAGAAAAATCACCATTTTTTTTCATTTAACTAAAAATTCTCAAATGATATAATAGGGCAATAAAAGAAGGTTAAAATTCATGGGCCTTTTGATATTGAACAGGTACATTTTTCTTCTGCCAAAATAAATGACCTGCAGTTAAGTAAATAATGGGCCAGAGGGAAAATATATTCAGTTTTATAGAGTCTTGAAAGGCTCCCTCAAGTCTCCGGGCTTATTATGAACTGTATAAAAGCCCACAATCGTTTCTGAGTGCTTCCTTATCCCAAGTGATTTCTTTAATTAACCAAAACCATCCAGGCCATGAACTGTAAACATTAACTAACATATGATCCCATATGAAATGCTGGCAAAATGTTTTATCATTAATTTCCATTCCACAAATTTCTGCTGTGTGTTTCTTTTAAATTCAGGAATTGATGTGGGCATATGCACCTTCTAAAATCTCACTGACAACTAGATATTATCAACTGTCAGCAGACCTGCCTGCTTACTGGAAGCTTTCCTTTTTAAGAGTTTGTCAAAATTAGTTTGCTCTGGTGAATTGTGGATTAGCAAGCAGAGCAATTGAAGTGGCACACATACCACCCTCTGGGGTGGTGAGAAGGGAAGCATCCCAGACCCTCATGCCAAAGAGAAGTCTCCATTCATTATAGAATTTCCCTACAGTTGTTCAACTCACCCAGGTTCATTCTTGAGCATGTTTGAGTATGCATAAAAGCACATTGTCTCATAACATACAGGCCAAATACCTCGAAAAGTATCAGTCCGTATTCTTATCAATTTTTTTTCCCTCCTGAGAGCAATATTCGATGGAAACATATTGCAACGTGCAAGTTCTTCTTTCAGGGTACACAGAAAAGATGAGGCTGGGAACTCTAAAAAAAGTTTGATCTCCTTTATTTTTCCCTAGCTAACATTTATATATTGTTTACTCTGTGCCTAGAGCAATCCCAATCAGTTTTTGAAATATTATGTTATTTAATCTTTGTAAGATCCTTAGGGTGTAGGTGTATTTTCACTTTACAGTTTGAAAACTAAAGTGACCAGGTTTTCAGGCCATTCAGCAACTAAGAAATGGAGCTGAATTTCCATGTAGGCTCCAGATTTGGGGTGCTTAAAGCCTCTTTAAAACTTCCTAGGGCCAGAAAAGGGTCATCTTTTATAAGGGAATCCATGACTGCTGGTGGAACTAACGCATGAAGCTTCCACCCTGAACCCCACCTTCTTTGTAAGTCAAAGGCACATATACTTGTAAATATCCATTCCCAAGTCTTGCTTGAGAGCTATTCTTGAAAAACTATTTCTAAGGTTGGTTGACATTTTATAGCTCTTAAATCCAGGAAGAATCTAGATTTAGGGAGGAGCCCATTAAATGATTAAAGTTTAAAATCCAAGTGGCCATGAATATAAATTAATTGTTTCCAAATACTGAGGCTTTCAAAAATATCTTCATAGAATGGTTCCTGTTCAATCTAAGCCACTTTCTCCTTGTCATATACTTTCATGAACAGTGGTGATGCAAAATCACAGTCCTTTATAGTCTCGATAAGCTTTTTAGAAATTTATTTCAAAATGAAATTCTTTCTAGGGAATCATTCATAATTTGCACTCGAAAATATTTTTAGATTTTCTGGGAGGAACTATGAAGTCACTATTTTATTTTAAAAACATTTCAGTGAGCACTTATTATGTGCCAAGACCAAAGACGTTAAACCCCAGCCCTGCCTTCAAGAAGTTCTCAAATACTGACTAAAACAGATTTAGATCAATATAATAGATTGCTATAATATAGTGTGATGATGAGAAATTTATTTATACAGAGGGGATGTTGCAGAGAGATCCCTGGAGGAGGTTAACTATAACCTGTGTTTAAAGATGTAAAATGAAAAAAATAAATAAATAAAAATAAAGATGTAAAATGAGTTTGCCAGATAAAGAAATGGGAAGAAGGGATTCCACACAGAGAGAATCTGGTGAAAAAAAGTCATGGAGGCCAAAATTTGGAGGACTCCTAAAACAAGCGAACTGGCGCAAAAAATATATCTAGTTTATATCAAATTCTCTAAGACGGTGACCAACTGTGTTATGCTTCCCACAGTGGCTGACTGCACCATTGTGAGGCAATGGACACAGTGGGGAAGTAGGACCATAGGAAAAAGAGAAAGAAAATCCATATGTCTTCCTGCCTCCATAGTGACAGTTGTAAGTCACCCTGGCAAGGGAATTATTAGCTCAAAGCAAATTTATATTGTGGTAGGGAGCACCCAAACAAATCAGATATGTCATCCTCGAGTATGACATGTGACTTAAAGAAAATTCTTCTTTTATGTCTAAATAATGTCAGAGAATATTCTTGAAATCAGAGACCATTTTATATATGAATAAGTACATTATATAATCAATAATGCTCATGTAATGTTATACTAATAATAGAATTTTATAGTCAAGGGGGCTGCTGAGTATAAAGACTGTATGTTTAGGGTCAAGTGGTAAGAGCTTCACCTTCAACACTTACAATCTGGGAAAACTTGAAAATCTCATGAAGTATTCAAGCCTCAGTTTAGGGCTTATGAAATGAGGAGAGTTTTTAGGGCTGTAATAGGGATTCAGCAATGCAGCATCTAACACAATAAATACTCCAAATACTAATTTTTTCAATAATGAATTTACAATTTGTATCCCATCCAATTACACAAGAGGACTCGAAATAGACTTTGAAAGTACATAAACAAAGATATAACAACAGGTAAAATTAAACTTGACAGAAATAGCGAACTCATTTACAGGGAAGAAGCTTATAATTTTATTAGGAATATATTCCTTTGCAATTCCTGAGGATTGTTACTTTCTGAAGGAATGATTTAGGTTGTTGAAATTTATGTTGGGACTCTAAAGGTGCCCTTCATTTTATAAGCTATTACCTGAAAATCCCTCTGACATCCAAACATAGTGAATTGGCTTTATTTTTTTTTCCTTGAGTGATTTGGGCTGGCTTATTTCCATAATACCTGAATGGCGTGTTTGTAAGCTGCCAATATTTTATTGTTCTGTTTTTTCTCACATGAATCAATTTGATTGTTTTTGGTTTAGCCAAATTCCACTGGGAATAGTAGGCAGTGTGCATTCCTTCTAATGATCTAAGTTACCAATGTTTTCTTTACACTGCTAGAAATGATGCATGGAATTACTTGAAATCTCAAGTCAAGTAGGAGGCTATGAGCTGAATTCAGATAATATAAAGTAAAAAACAATTCACTATACTAAAATTTAATTCATCTGGTTTCTTTATCAAAGGAAATTCCATACAACATTTCTATACAACTAAAACCTACCCCCTACATCTTGAAACAAATGTTGAGGAGATGTTTTTCTCTAATGCCTGATAGAGATTTAATTCCTTAGGCCACTATTGCATTCTCCTGGAGGTACTGAGTATGTCCAGAAAATTATAAACTCCTTGAAAAGCCTCTGTACTGCCAACAATGAGTAGTGATGGATTCTGGGATAGAGATGGTGTCATTCTAGCAAGTGACCATTGAGTTAAAATTCATTTACATTTTTAAAAAAATCATTTACATAATGTGTACAATAATTACAAATTCCTATCTCATTCTGTTCTTTCAGTTTCATAAAAATCAGTAGTGAATCTATGACTAACAGTGAAGTGGGGAGATCTGAATTTAATAAGAAAATGATGGTCAAGTTTGTTAAAGCAATAACATTAGTTGTATGCATTGCACAAGTTTCCTAGGCTGAATGTTTTTATAACATGTAGAATAATATTTTTAAAGTTTGGAATTGAACAAATAGAAAAATTATGTATAGTTTTACATCTTAGACTGAGCTATGTGATTGTGCTAGTGTCCTTTATTAAAAGTAGGGACATTTTGCTCTCCTGGTTTCCTTACTGAGTGTCTTTCACTTGCCATGCACTTTTGAGAGAGGAGTAGGAGTTCGAGTATCAACAATTCCTCCCTTTCCCATCCCATCTATTAAATATTTTAGACTCCTCATATAATAATCCTAGGTTTGTGAATTTGCCTCTGCAATGAGGACCTCACCAGTAAGGAACCACCTGAAGAAGTTCAGGACTTCATATGAGGTGGGTGGATCAAGGAGGTGCTTACTCCAGTATAGGCATCTCTATACCTGCCACTTATGAACTGTTAAATTCTACACAGCTACTTTGCATCCCTTATACATGATCTCATGGAGAGGGTACTCAGGAAACAGGCAATTATTCCTTAATAGGTCTTAGTTGTTTCAAGGACTTAGAGAACAATATATCTCCGCCCTAGCTGGCTTGTTGTAAGTGTTCATGGGCATATTAGTGCAAATGAAGTCACTGAGGGACCACAGTGAAGACAAAGACCTTCTTGTTATAGCGCTTATGTTAGAGATGGAGGGAGACAGGCGATCAACAAGCAAGGCAGATCATTTTTGAGCTCAGGAATGTAGGGACATCAAAACAGAGTGGTGAGGCAGACAATGCCTTGGGGAAAGAGATGGTGTTAAATGGACAGAAAAGGAAGAGTAGGGCCACCATGAAGGAGGATTCCACTAACCTCTGAAGCTTTGTGCAAATTAGAAAAATGTGTCCATTCTGAGTGTGTGGAGACCATGGTGGCA